ATTTAAGACTGAAGAAAGACTAAGGAGAAGCTCTTTTACAGCACAAGTTTGGGCTTTTATCTTTTTCAAAGTAGGTATTCCAGTGGGAAAAGGTAAAATAATAATTCCCCTGGCTTATTCTTTGGCAAGCATTGCTTTGATTGGCGACTGAGACCCATTAATTTACGATAATTTGGGGGAACAGCAGCACTCCTCCGTGACTAATGTATTTAAGTCGGAGCGGGTCAGCACCTCCAAACCCAAGGTGACCCAGAGAGCTGCCACTCGCTGCCGAAATCATCCCCTACTGCATTTACGGGAGAGGGAACTATCACACCTCGATGACTCAGGCTTATTTTCACAAGACATGCATGGAGGGGTTTTTTGGGGGGCTCCTGTGGAATCCTGCACCTCGTCTAGGTCTCCTGGGGTCTCCTGCCCTACCTTTCTACACTTTGAGGTGTCCACAGTTCGCCCTGCACGCTGGTGCGCTGCACCAAGCTAATCATCGGCACGGAGAGAAAGGATATTGTCAGAGTGCAAAATGATCTGTTTTCAGGCAGGAAGCAGTCAACTAGATGTAAATTCCATGAAACAAAAGAAGGTATTATTTACAGTTTTATTGTGATGTTAATTAATATTTACATCTTGGAACGAAAAATAGAAATGTTAATGATTGGCTTTACTAAGAGGATCACTTGATGCCAATGTGAAAGCCAGGGAGAGAAGGCAATTATGCAAACATCACATGCATCCTAATTTCAGTATGGAAACTTACATTTCAAACCTCAGATCAGGAAAATAACATGGAAAGTTTGTACTACAAAATCTAAACATGAGATTTAAGAGAAAAAAAAGCACATTGCATATGTCAGATAATCTACTCTGATTATCTGAGCTGTGCTAGCTACAGGGAAGCACTTACCCTTGAGTCCAGCTAGAAGTTAGCAGGGTAAGAAGGAACAAACCAGAATAACATAAAGACTAGCAACAAGGCTCAGGAAAGCAGACAGGAGCCCTAACCTAGCAGCTAAATATTTGGGTTCAAGCAAAGAATGAAAAAGAAACTTAAAGAAAATCAAACCAACCAAAAAAAGAAACCTCTTACAGCTGAAAATTTCTTAAGCAGCTCAATAAACCTCACTACTTATTATGGGGGAACAAATCATTACAAATTCTCAAAACAACCAACTCTTTGTATATGGTGTGATTAACAGTCATTAAATATAAACAGACATTAAAAAATGAAATATAACCACAAGTGATACGTAAAACAAGTACAGACCAATCTTTCACATTAAAAAGAAAAGGGTTTTAAAAAAAAAAGAACATTGAGCATGTTTGGGAATTTAGTTTGATGCATCACTAACACAGAACGAACAAAGATTGGTGCTTTCAGACAAGTGACCACTTTTATGAAGCTTAAATATTGCCAAAAGGTGTAATATGTATTGGCAGCATTATTGACTACAATACTGTGCATGATTTCAACAGTAAACGAGAACAGTTTTGGGTTTCTTCTTTTATAATGCGAACACTGGAGAAAAGCACAGCTTTGCGTGAATGGAGTTTTTCTTTTAAATTGTAGCAAAACAAAAAAAGCAAAACTTTTCACTCTAACAGGTATTGTTCACCCACATAAAACGAATTGTAGAGTCATACAAAAATTAATGAATAGCAGGATCTATTTTTTTTCAGTACTTAAATGGCAAATAAAATAAACTCCATCCTGGTTCGGAGCTGTCTGTTTACTTCCAAGTCAAGCACGGCTATCGAACTGCAGATGAGAATTTGAGTGCTGCTTGAATTTTGCATTTACTAAGTCAAAAGAGGTGGGAAGCAAATGAATTCACTATTTCTCCCAAGTTTCCCCAACAGTAAAATGTGTTCTTCTCAAGTTTCTGTTTAACAGACAGCTCCATCACAGGAGCGGAGGGCTGGATTTTCTCTGCATGTGCATGCATGCGCATGTGCCATCTCGGACTGCTACAACATGAAAGCTGTAACAACAGTTACTCATCAAATGGCTTAACATTTACTTCTTTGCACATCCTCATTCACCATAGCCTCTAATAAGCACAAAAAATATGACAGGTATAAAGATAAATGTACAAGATTAAAATGTCTCATAGAAGTCCTTACCTTTCTGCAGGCAAAAAAAAAACCACAAAAAACCAAACCAAAAAACCCAAGCCAAAAAAACCCAGTAACAAACCAAGACCCTTTTTAAAATGCAATACTTGATAGGTTTGAATTTCAAGACTGAAGGAGCTGAGATATGTATTTGTGCATTTAAGACTCCTGACAAGCCATCATGTGTGGCATGCATGACTCACTTCTGCTTCTGATTATTTAACTGCTGCGCCCAATGACTTTTGCAACGAGCATTGCCACATACAAACATTGAAATACGAAAAATGAGTAGCCCTTGCTGTTGAGATGAAGGTGTACAATGGCATGCTGCCCTCTTCCTCTTGTAGGATGAAGGTCCTGTGCACAAAGAGTTGTCAGAGGGATCTAGATCCAAGGGAGTAGGAAGAAGGACGACCGAGGACAAAACACGCTGGCCCAGAGGATGCTGAAGTACTAAGTCATCGTCAGACTGATAAGCCAACTGGTTTTGCCCTTCCAGACTTCAGCACAACACAACCAAGAGGGTCTCCCAGTGCGTGCAGCAAAATGGGGAGCCTGAAGCTGCCCAGCTTATGGGGAAAACACACTGTGGATGGAAAGAGGGTGGTGGCATAAAAAGAGTCGAATGATCTGGATTTGGAGATGGTATTGGCATGAGAACAAGTGAGAGAAACTGTCAGATCCTGACCCCCTCAGATGCTCTGGAGGGACCAGGGGGTGAAATCTCGGCTGTTTTCACCAGACGCAAGGATGAGGGATCCCTGCCTCCTGGCAAGTGAGTGAGATGGAAAAAAACAAGGTCAAACCTGTGGCATTTCTCTAGCTCTGAGCACAGTCAGGCTGATACAGTCTGCAGGACCACGAGCAGCACAAGTCTCTCGTGGATGTGCTGGGTTGCGGTTAGATGCAGAGAGGACTCCTGGGCTCAGTCACCAACTTCGCTGCTCGCTGGCAAGGACTAGGACAAGCCAGCTGTCCCTTCTCCATCCCAGGTAACCTAAGCAGGGGGGTTCAGCTCTCTCTACACACACAGCGCTTGGCTGTGCATGGGGCCAACACACCCAAAGGTCCACAGTCCTGGGTATCCCCTTTCCCTCCCCAAACTCTTGGCAGACTTTGCTGCAGCTGCTACTAGGCAATTACAATGTGTCTGGGAAAGGGACCCTTCACCGGACTCCACATACTGGTCTGCGAAAGTGAAAACTCCATAAACATCAGGAATTTACCCAGCAGAAAAATTGTCCAGGCCTGATGTCCGCAAGGAGAGGTGTTTCCCCAGTTCGATGCTCTCTCACTGCCCTCATCCTAGTCCACAGGGATCATGCTGGGATGAGCAGGAGCGCATCCTCTTTGCACCAACCACACAGCTAAGGGCATCCTTCAGCATCACTTGTTAGGAGAGGGAGCCACAAGCAGCATCCCTCTGCTGCTCTCCCTTGCTACACTTTGAGTCTTTCAGCATGTAAAAAAGCAGCGGCAGAGGGACCTGTGCCTGCTGTTTCCAAGAACCCTTTGACTAATGTTCTGGCAGAGTGACACAGAATCCCTGGGAGTGCTCTCAGGTCAGAACAACTCAGCCAGATCTAGAGGCTAATCACAGCCAGTAAACATCCCACTTACAAGAGGCCAATTCTTGTCTCCCATTTTGGCTTTCTGAGAGGTGTCCTTCCTTCCTGACCCCCCAGTCCTCTACACTTTGCACCCCAAAGTCAGCGACCTGACTGGGATGAAAAGCATGAGGGTCATTGAAATGAAAATACTGACTATAGGTTTACCACGCTGCATCATGCTACATCTCACTCACAGCAGCAGCAGTGCAAGGCAGAAGGGAGTCCTCAAATATGCAGGCATGTGGAGGATGAAAAAAAAAAAAGGCAGCAAGCAGAGGTTTTCTGCTGTAACATTGATCGTACAGCTGTATGTCTTGCATTTTTATTTTCTATAAATACTGACATGAAGAAGTTAAACCGATATAAAAGGTGATCAAATGATATTGATGAGCAAGGGGCAGATTTTCTGAGTTCCTTACAAGAAAATACTCCATAACAGCTTTGCAGAGACTGTTTTAAATGTTTAAATCTGATTTACTCAGAATAATTTGCTAATATTTACCACTTTCCCTGATTTTATTTCTATTTAATGATACTGATTCTTAAATTTTGCTGAAACTAGTGAGAACTGTTGTATGTTACATAATAAAGGGGCTCCAGACGCATGATCGAGACCTTCAAGAAAAAAGAGCGAGGAGGCATTCATCTGGTTTATAATCAAATTACATTTGCAAGACAAAAGAAATTGCTCTAAATTTCAAATTAAGCAAACTGGGTATAACTGCACAGGACATGCAGCATAGCTACGACTTAAAAGATGATTGCTTTAAATTCACATCTAACTGGCCTGCAAAGCAACCTGTTAAAAATACCATATGTTTTCCTACAGTTGAATATTCAACAGGAGACCTCTTTTTGTGTGTGCATTTCATACTTGCAAGATTTGCACCTGTAGTTCCGAGCACGTGATGCATTTGATAGACAGCTAATGGCGCTAATGAATCGCTCTGATCTGGGTGTGCAGTTTATTGTGTGGGGGTAAAGCACGTGTCTGCAGAAAGCAAGCTGGGTCTCAGGCTCTCAGATCCCAGCCTCTCCTCCATCAAGTATTGCACTTTAAAATACTCATTGACAACTTCCCCAAGGAATTTGTTTCTTGGATTTGGTTGTGCTAAACACACAGGTTAACTGCTTCTGGATCCACTGATGTAAAAAGCAGCTTAATGATAATGAAAAAAATTTTCGAGTCAGAAATATGTGTGCGAATACTGATTTACATCAGTGCAGAAAATCTTTCTATCAAAGACTTCTGCTTTCTAGGAGAACTTATTTACTTACAAAATTGAGAGATTGGGGCGTCTAGCTGGGGTACATTTCCTCCTTTAGCATTTAGCTTTTGCACTTGGGTAGGTGGCACAGGTTTGTGAGACTGGCCGGTGGCTCGGTACATGGCTTGGACCCACAGGATACGGTCCTGCTCATCGTCACTTGCAAAAATCACCGTGTCTCCTTCCTTCACAGCGTTGAAGAATGCTCTGCCACCCTCCAAACCTGGCAGGAGAGGAAGCGACAATGGAGTTTCACAGACTTTCAGCCCAGTCAGGGGATCTCCCCCAGCTTCCCAACCCACTGCCGCCCTGGGTGTCACCTCAGCCGGCCCCACACTGTCTCCGGTTCCTGGCCAAGCTCAGTCCCCTCCCCTGCACCAAACTCACCCGCAAGACAGCCCGCCATGTCCCCAGGTAGCACCCTGCACCGCAATTACTACAACATGCCCCAACACACTCAGATTAATTGCTTCTCTCACCTACAGCCCTGTCTGTGCAAGTCCCATGCGAGTTGCACCGCCGGAGCCCCATTAAAAATGGGTTTTGAGGGGATGTGGTGGGAGATTTCCCATTAGACCGAGTGCATCAGTGCTCACACTGCACAGAAGGTGCTTGGGTGATGTTCTTATTTCTGTCTTGCCCTGATTCAGCACTGATCTTCCCATCTCCCTAACATGAGAATTAACCTGGAATAAAGGTCTTGACAACCAATCCACTGTGTCTTTCTTCACCTCCTCTGGGGATGCCATTACACAGGGCATAGTGAGGATCACCACGCTCAACATGTTGCCCCACTGAAATAAAAGAAACGTGGTGCTCCTCCACTTGAAGAAGAGTCTCACAATTCAACAGGTACCTCCAGGTACGAGGGGACTTGCTGTCCCTGCCCCTTCCACTCATTCACATCCATCAGAGAGAAAATGGGGCAGGCAAAAATGCTGGGTTGGTCCTATAAATATTTTGTACAAGGAAGAGTGACATAGCAGCTAACCTTTTATTTAGGGAATATAATCTGAAGGCACAGGTTAGGATCATTACTCGATTTGAGCATTCAGTTCACAACCAAATTTCATTGAGATTTAAGCATCATTTTGGGTCCCCAGAAGAGATGAGTCTTTCCCTCCTTTGCTGCAACTCCTAGCTCAATTCCTTAGATCTATTTATAGTAAAGTCATGCATAGCTAATGATCAGTATAAACACAAACATATTTAGAATAATGCTGATCACGGTTCAGCTGCAAGCAGGGAGGGAGGGAGAGAGAGGACTCCCATTTGGGAGCCGTACGGAGCGTGGTGAGCAGGAGCACTGGCGGGCGCAGCAGCCAGGTGTCAGCCCCCGTACCTGGCTGCGGGTCGGTGTAGTCCACAGTGTATCCGTCGAGCTGCAGCAGCTCTTGAGGTTCAGCTTTTTTCTCCCGGTAGCTGCACATAGCAAACGTATATTGACTAACCTGAAGAAAATCACAAAGCTAAGATGGCACCGGGTGATCATGACAAGGCAATCCAAAACGCTTACAAACGCCGTACGCTGACGGCGTGTTTACAGGGACTGGGGATGATGGGGGAATTTTGACAGTCATTGCCCATACGAGACAGACAACTTTTTACCAAGGCTTTTGCAAAGCTCTCTCTTAACACACCCTGCTATGGCAGGCATGTAATTCTCCGCATCAGTACATACAGCGGTTTAATTTCCTCCAAAAGAGGAAGCTCCACGCTTTAAAACCCTCTATCATTCATCCTCAGACAAGTGCAAGAGTGACACCCTGTCACAAACAATGTGAGCTAAATTGCTAGGTGCCAGTCATATTAAAGCAATCTTAAGATCCCACTGATCTCGGCAGTTGTTGTCATCAGTGCTGTAAATGGCAGCTCTCACTCCTCTGAGGTACCATCTGCATGACACGATACATTCAATGTCAAGCTCTTGACGGAAGCCGACTCAGCTGCGGGGGCTCTGCCAGGCTCCCGAATCGCCTTTAGGAGGCCATCAGGCCGCATCAAGACCCCGCGCGTACTTGGCGTGCCGCGATCTGGATGGTCGGCGAGAAGCTCGTCCCGGGAGGAGAGGAGAGGAGAGGATTCTCTGTGCCCCAGGCGAGGAACTCACGGGGAAATTTACTGTCAAATGATTTCAAATGACTTTGTTAAGGTTGTGTCACATCCTGGCCGCCTGACGTAATTTTATTCATCTGGACATTTTCTTGACCTCTGGAGGAAACTTTAAAACTCTGGTGGGCGGCATTGGATCGTGCTCGTCATTTTTTGGAAGTCGCGAGAGATCCTGAAAGACGGGTGAGCGGCTGGGCTGGGGGATTTTGCCTTCAAACTCCATACAAATCGCTTGGCTACAAATACACACGCAGCACCTATTTTGGTGGCATCTATTGCTAATAAAATGTCATTTATTTAAGTCAGGGGACCCGTCTGTTGGCATAGCATCTCCCAGCCGGTGCTCGGTTTATTGCTGCCCTCTACGGGCTTCTGCTAGCTGCCAGTCTGCTCTCAGCAGCTCTGCCTGCACCGTGCCTTCCTCCAGGAACAGCTCCAAAAGCCACCTAAGAATAAACCCTATCATTAACACATTTGTGGGAGTAAGACTAAAAGTGATGCTTAAAGCATCTTGCATCCTCCTTAAAACTACCAGCACCGACGAAAGATTGACAAGTAACAGACCAATAGCAGGAGCACACCAGTGCATATTCTATGCTATGAACTTTGAATGCATACCATCGTACCGGCAACACAAAAATTTAAAAGATTAACACGAAGAAATCTAAAAATAACGTAGTGCCCCACAGCACAACATTCAGACGACTCCTGCAGTGTTCATTCAGTTATACTCGCAGTATATTGCTGCCATCTCCTGGAGAAGCTCTTGAATGTGCTTTATTTATGGTAAGATCCTGGAGATTTCATCCGAGCGGTGAAGATTTGATTCCTCTGTGTCAGATAGCCTGAACTTCAGGGACTGTATGATAAATCCAATTCCTGAAATGAGTCAGTGCTAACCTATGCTGACATTGATTGAAAACATTAATACAACTAATGTTTTTTTCTTCTGTATGCTCTATAGCAACAGGTAAAATTCATTCAGTAGTTCAGCTGCTTCTTCTCTGGCCCTGAACATGAGGTCTGAACTTCAGGCTCTTCTTCATGGACAAATAATCCCTCTCATCTTTGGATTCAGAAAATATTCTTCATCCGTATCAATAAGCCAACCATACCAACTCAACAGTAATGTATGGAAACACACGCAGGCATTTCAGAGCGTATACTGCTCATGTTAAAAGTTATAAAAGACAGATGTAGACAGTAGACTCTGCTTGGAGCCATCCTGAGAGAGAGGCAAAGCAAACTGGTCTGTCCTGTTAGCATTCACATGATTTCCTTGGAAGAAGCTGCTCTACATCATTATTAGAAGACACCTCTAAAAGAAACCCACAGGTGGGTCTACAACATGAGATGAGTCAGGGCTCACCTGGGTTCAGGTCCTACTTCTTCTCTACTCACACGGCTCAAGCGCAAAGCCCAAGCTCAGGATTGCCCCAGATCCTGCAGGCAGGAGGCAGGTTAGGATCGGGCTGGAGGGAGGAGACAGCTAGCGATGGCCTCTGGAAAAGGTGCCAACTGTGCCATGGAGGGTGCCTGCGCCTAAACAATTTGAGCTACTGACTTCAGGGACTGGCATACCAGCCTGTCTGTCCTATCCTGCTGCTTAAAGCATTTACTGCTTGGGGTCAGAACGAAGCTGATGCCCTGGCTACCAGTGCAATGTGGCTCCTTCCATTTACAAGTGGTGGTAAAGCAAAACCTGACAAAATGAGATTCTAGGAAGCTCGGTATGTCACGATCATGCTTTGCTGCTGAACAGCACTGTAGGGTCAAGGGGAGATTGCAGCTTGCCTTTCATCAGTCCTCTAAAATATTGTGCTTTACAGAGCCTGCTTTCTGTAGAAGCTTAGAAGTGGCCAGACAAGTGAAACAGTTAATAGCAGAAATTAATCTTACAGCCTGCTGAGTTCACACCAAACCATAGCTGAGTATGAGAGCAAGCGAGCAGATGGGATGGGCAAGATGAATGGTTTGAGTAATTGGAAAAAACACAGATACAGAGAGGAAACCGAAGGAAGACAGAGGAGAAATCTCTGCCCAGCGAGGGACAAGCTCTCAAAGCAGCTGGGATTTCATCCAGGGACTCGGTGAGGGCCAGGAAAGGAGCATCTAAGGAAGCTGAACGGAGAGAAACTAAAAGAAGGGAAATAATCCAAGGCTGCCCTGGCTTGTTCATTACAAAAAAAAGGGAAAATGCTTTGAGAAACAATTTAAGACAAAAGAACAGAAGGAAAAGAAAGTGGGGAAAAAAGAGAAAAAGACAAAGAAATTCAGCAAAGGGGAAGCAGACAGCGGGAGACAAATGCCAAAGTTCACTATTCCCCGGCTGCTAAATTAGATCTGACTTTCTTGGCGCTTGACCATATTCTGTCACCAGCTATATAATCTGACTGATTAATAAATACAGTAGATGTGTATTAACCAGTCCTGACTTTGTCCTTGTTTTTTCACCAGAGACTCCTGCTCTAGCGAGCACGGCTTTCCCCAGGATCCTGCTCAGACCTGTTAATTGTCGTGCCTCACACTCTGAGCTCAGTCATTCGCCTCCCCCTTTCTCGCTGTTGACATAACACCGCCCCACTTGGGTTAAATTCTTAAATGGACCTTTCCTAGATTAACAGCATGCATTTTGTCCCAAGGGAGAGAAACTGTGCTAAGATACTGCCAGTTGTAATACAGCTTTCCACTTTGATGGGAGACTCTTGTCCTCTGGTTGCAGCTGTACGTTGCCTCCCGAGCCCTTTCCTGACACAAATGAGCAGAGGAAATGATCTAGCTTAAAGAAAACCATTGTTTTCACATTTCAGCACATCCATTCAGCCCTAAACAATTGCACATAGCAGTTGTCCTAACTCCTTCCTTCAAAGCAGGAGGTGTGCGTGTGTTCTCCTTGAGCAGGGCTGTGTGATGGGAAGCCATCCCGTGTGAGTACGGACAGGACATGCAGGACCTACCGTAGCCAGGTGTAACAAGCTGTGGCACCTGTTTAACCAGTAGTTTCCAAACATTTTGTATTTATCATCAATACTCAAGGTTTCTCAAGAATCACCACCTATGCCCAGTTCTCAGCGAGGGTCTAACTGAAAACATGATTTAATATGATTATGGAGACCAGCTACGGGTCATTTACCTTGACTTGAGGACCACAGTCTAGGACCACTGCTGTAGTACACTGCAATTTTGCTGAATTATTCTCTAATTCTGGTGGTTATTCGGAGTTACTGAACACCTACTTCATTTCATTTTATCCCGAGTCAGCTGAGTTTTGCTAAAAGCAGGAACCGTCACTGTTAGTCTAAATTATAATGAGTTCAGGGAGTCTGTCATTAGAACAATAGATCCAGGCATAGACACTGCAACTGGTTTTAATCTGCAGAGAGTTGATCTGGTTCCAACAACATTCTGCAAACACCATCAGACACAATCAGCCGAAAACTGCTTCAAGCTACTCAGCAGACATGTCATCCAGGTACCATGGAGTGTTACTTCCCATATGCTGCCAGAGCACAGAAATGGGGTTATGACAAGAGAAGAACAGATTCAGTCTGAAATCTCAGTGTAATTAATTCACTTGCCCTTAAGAATCATTATAAGAAATTTCCCATTGCAAAGCCAGCAAACCCACCAGAACCAACAACAGTGTTGTTGCCAGTACAGCACATTAGACCTTGCAAAGAATTAATACAAGCTCTGTCAGCTATCAAAAATCCCAGCTTTTGCACAACCAACGGTCTAATTGGCAAACTGGCTGAAATTTGTATGCTGTGGAAACACTTATAGGAAACACTTAAGAAACGCTTATAACATCTGTGATGGGTGTACATTTTCTTTCCTAACCAGTCACAGAGAACTTTGCCCTAAATTGCTCCATTGCTTTTGCTTACCACTGCCACTGGCATTACAGTTGCCTTTACGAAGCATTTTCCTCACTTGTGATGCTGCGGACCATTTCCATCCAAGCTCAGGGCCATATTCTGCCATCACTTTCACGCTGCATATCTCAGGATTTAAAATTAGGCAAGTAACGAGTCTCTGCCATGTAATTTACATCTAATCAGTATTCTGCTCTTCTGCTGCTCATCTCAAAGGGTGTCTACGAGAAGGGTGGGCAGCGTGCAGAGAGGACCGCGATTCATTCGGAAGCGAAAACTATCCCCTCTTAATGCACGGGTGCATGCTGGAGGAGCATATGCACTAGCTCTGCCAGCTGTGCCATGCCGTAAACCCTCCCCGAGGGGTTGAACCAAGTCCACCCAGCAACGTACGGGCTGGAGAGGTGAGGCCCACTTCTAGAAAAAAAAAAACCGCTCTCACCCGCTACACCCAAACAAATCATCTCCACTCCTGTACAACCCTCGCAGCTACACAGACACAGAAGGTGCGAGGGATTATTCCACCCAAATTACAAGGCAGTTACTGCTCCTTTCCCCTTCTCTCCAGGGCTTACACAAGCAAAGTCGCAGTGGAAAGACTCCCTGCAGAGCTCCTTTTTCTACATAAGCGTGCAAAGCCTCCGTTCATACTGGCGAGGCATCACTGACACAAGAGACAAACTGCCATCAACACCTTCCTCCTTGGTGCCGCCCATGCAGTTTGGCACCTTTGAGCCTTGTTTAGGTGGTTATGTAGAGTTTGAGTATTTATTACCATGAATTTCTTAACCGCTGGTACCAGAAGGCAGAGCGATACCACCCAACAGCACTGAAGGAACTGAGGCTGCGTCTGTCTGAAATGGGGAAAGAGGGGCAGGAGAGGGCACAGGACCAGGAGGAGGAGGTTACTCTGCAAGGGATGGGAGAGGAGACAGAGCTGCAATAGAAAATGCTACAGGTAAGGGACAGAGACAAGGGATCAGAAAGGAAACACTTATTCATCCAAACATACAGCCTTGCCCTCTTGGCAGTGACACGGACTGACCAGACCACTATATCCCAAATGGACTTTATGCTTTGGACTCCATCTCTTGGCTCTGGTGCAAGCAGGAGCCTGGTGCAGATGAGAAGGCTCCTGAAACACGGGCTGCTCCTTGTCCGTTCTTTACGTAACAGAGCCAGCTCACCTTCCTGCAGGGGTTATTTTCTGTCTGTGGTTTAGCAGAGTTCAGAGCATCCTGGACATCAACACCTTTGCTGCCAATCCCTGTTCATATCAGCACCCATCCTTTGCCTTGCATGAAAAGCAAATGACAAACATACGGACAGCAAAGTATTTTTATTCCATCTTTATTGCCTGCTGACATGTTCAATATGCTCAAACTACATCTGAGGGACTGCATAGAGAGTGTTTCTTGTTTATATTTGATGTACGGCAGAACACTTTACATTGCACCAAATGTTGAGCAAACGGTAACATAACAGAGAAGCTGCAGTGGCAGCTGGAATTTCTGAGGTGGGCTACAGAGACTCTCTGGGGGCAAAAGTCTGCTCATCTTATTCAAATGAACTGCTTTTCTGGCCAAATTCTGCTCTTATATGCCAACTGACGAATATAGACCTAGTAACATGAGAAAACATGGAATAACTCTGAGAGCTTCAATTCCACAGCAAGCTGAAGAATATATAGCAACTGAAAACTAGAGAAGTAACTGTAGCCACATAGAATGGCTAGAAGAAAGGCTCCTTGAGAGAGACATGGGAATCCACGACCAAACCTGCAAACCCTTGCACAGAAGAGTATCAACAGATTTATTTATGGGAGAAGCTATGTTAGGAAAGAATTGCTTTGGAGAATCCGTGTTCACAGGGAAAAAGGGACTGAGAACTTGGTCTAACAGGAATGAATTGTCTCTCAGGGAAAAGCAATACTAGTTGCCCTACAGGTCATCACAGACTGCCACGGCACTTTTAACTTAATTTCAGAACATAATAAAGGAAACATACAGAGAAAAGCAACCCCTCAATTCTTGCCCAAGAACAGGGTCACTGCCTAATGTTCCCAAAAGGCCTTTCCTTCATTATGGCCTCTGCTGCTTCTTACCCAGGAGACGGTTTGGGATTTACCTCCAGCAGTCTAGCTCTGCAAGATGCTGGGTTCCCCTGGGAGCTGCCAAGCACCCTACCTTGCCAGGGACCTGGCTAGTCCCTGCACGGAGGGTGCAGCTGCAAACCAGATGCTTCTAAGAACGGATTACACAGATCCTAAACCCATCACTTTTACCTAAGTCTAAATATATCTGCTTGGGCAGACAGAGGCATCTCCTGTGGCTGTTCTACACTAGCTCCCCCACTTCTGTGGCCATTTTGACCCCATTTGGAGTACAAAATGAGCACTTAAACTGTTGCTGTTGATCATACTTGGTTATTGGATTAGGTACTCAACTAGTCTCTCCAAATAGGCTCCTACTTACATGGGTCATGCACATCATAAATCCCTTTTACTTTCCCAGGATGGATTTTCTTATCTGCCACATAGTCTAGCGCTATGGAGGTCAGCAGTGATGGACAAATGAGGAATGCAGTTAAGCTTCCTACTGAGACAGCTGAACATGAAGTAGTAATTAACTCAAAACAAACTAACCAGTTTACACCAGGTGATTTAGGACCACAGAAGCCAGCTGTGTAAGGTGTGTAAGATTGACTGAGTGGACTGCTTCCCTTACCGGCACAGGAAAGCCAGCATACAAGCATGCTCCTTCCTAGATGTGGAGCCTGATGCACCTGGTTTACACCACCTCTGTTCTTACACATAGGTGAAATCCCGGCCTCTCTGCGGCAGACCAGCCATCTGCTTCGTCGGCAGTAGGATTTCACCCTCTGACTTGATCACTTTGGATCCATGCTGGCACAAGATCTCAGTTGGATCCCATGTTATTCCATCAGAGCACCTCTGTTGCTTGCACCACAGGGCCCTGCACAAAGCTTTTATTTCCCACACTTGGAGACAACACACCCTGGGGAACCCAGAGAGGAAGGAGAGAAAGATGGACCCGAGAGGACTCTGTGGCTTTATCAGGTTGGTGTGAAGATGGAGCGGCTCAAGTTGGGGCCCCACACTCCTGTGGCCAACGCAGTGGTTTCAGCTGCCGTTGGGAAGGTGAGGGAAGATCTAACACACCAAGTACTGACCACATCCTTTTGTGTCACAGAGGACATCTTCTGCCTGTTTCCTTGAAATTCTTAACCACGGTCAAATACACAGGTCTACCAAAACCGAGAGGGTAGAAAATGAAAAAAAGAAAAAAAGGCAAAAAGGAAGAAAGACATCGCAAAATGATTTATGAGAGCTGTAGATGATGAGACGCAGTAATGTACATGAAGGCAAGATAAATGTCAAGAACGATATACTGACTCTGACGTAGCCAGTGATTAAACTTCTGTAGATTTCAATGGACTTCAAATTTTACCTGGAGGCTCAAAAGAGAGCATTTTCACCCAATACCTCCAGACAAAGACAGACGGAGCTTTCTCCTCATCTCATTAATTCCTCACTAAAATGGGTTCTCCATTTCACCAAGCATTCATATGCATCAGGAAACTCAAGGCTAGAGGTGTGCAACTGGGATATCCTTGAGAAGATGTATATATTTAGAAAAAAATCCATGACTTAACAGACACCCCATGCAGAACCACAGCTCAGCATCAATTACACAGCACTGAAAATGGCCAGAGGAAAGGCTTAAATATTTCATGTTGTGATTTAAGATCACTTTCAGTGAAATCTGTTACCTGGACCAGGACAAAGAATCGTTTCTTCCATCTCTTCCAAACATTTTTACCAATGGCCCATAAATACCTAGGAGAAAAGAACAGGCGAATTCAGTACACAAGTGACTATATGTTGTTCTCTTGCTTTTCAGTGTGTTTTCTTTGCACCTAGAAACTGAAGTTAATGCACAAGCAGGAGTAATTACAAGATTCTTAAGCTCAGTAGCATTCATGAATGTGTTTATTTCTAGCCTGAACAAATAACCTGTAAAGAAAGTGACATAAAAAGCTTCCAGAGTCTTAATGTTATACAGTATTAATTCTCTCTTCCTCTTTGTCTTTCACAGCTTGCTCAGCATTTAGAAGCACTTTAATGTCAGTGAATAGCTACAACATGGTTGGATGAGTGAAGAATACATTTGCAACGGCAGAATTAAGGGAGAGAAACCCCGAATGTTGCTTTAAGCCTTCACAAAACCATTTGGCTGAGGGGAGTTGTCAAACAGAGGGATACTTACTACATCGAAGGCAGTACCTAGCATCCCAGTATCCACTGGACTAACTAAACCAAGACACTTTGCTGAACAGCTTAAGATGAATTCCTGGAAATCGCTTGGCTACAGATATTCAAACAAACTGAGTAATTTCTAAGGAGGAGTGAATTTACTTTTTTCTACAAAGGAAGAATTTTTATAATTAACATCAAAATTAGCATTTAATCTCTGCGATGAAGCAGCCGCTATGACACTGTAATACAAACACTGGTAAAAATAGTGTCAGCACCAGACTAATAGTAAACACAAGGACATTATTCAGCATTAATATGTTTTACGTATCATTATAATTACTTTATTTCTGAGTCAATAAATAGAAAAACAATTCCTTTTTGGTTATGCCAGTGGTTCCTTATGCCCAAAGAGATCCAGCATACTCTTGGTGAACGTTTAAGCTGCAAAACTCCAAGATATGCTAATGTGGGCACCGGGTCCTTGGCTAGTTCAAGAACGAGGTAATAATTGTCCTTTTTGCTATTGCCGCTAACATCTATAGAAAGACAATCTCAGTTCTGATAGCAAGCTAGTATTATAAATTACATAGGTTTGAGGAGCATCTTGTAAATCAAATGTTAATTGAAGAAAGCCTGAGAAAAGCCAGGACTGCTCAGCCCTGTTGCTATCGGCTGTGGTCAAGGAAACAAATACAACAGGCAAACTGTCCTTTCTTACTTTTGGTGTCTGTGATGGTGGTGGCAAAATTAAATTTCACATGTGGATATTGGCTCTGATTTCATTAGCAGAGATGACAGGAGGAGGAGGAGGAGGAATTGAAAAAAAGATGAATGATCCAAGCCATCTAGTAATGGATTGAATCTAACGAAACACTATGGAAATAAAAATGAAACAAACTCACTTTTATAGCACCAAAAACATACCAGAGAAAGAGTTAATCAAACCAGTGACTTTCCTGGACAATTTCTATTTTTTATCACATCCTCAAACACACGAAAGCCTTGCCAATGGCATTGGCTAGATGTTCCCAAGGATGATCTAATTTGTAATTGCATCGCATGAAGGTGGAAGCCAGGGGTGGTGGTCAGGGATGCCCCTGGCCCCAGACCCTCTGACACTCACGTCTGGAGGGGAGAGGTTTCCCTTTTAACCTCCCAGATCATTAGTCCTACTCCAGGCAACCGCCTACTCCAGGCAACTGCTATTTAATTGTGCTGTGTATCTCTGTATAAATAATGATGATCACACTGGAGTTTATTTCAAGCAGAAGGTGCGCTGTGCTTTTGGGTCTGAGAAGTCAATACAGGGAAACACAGAATAATTTAGGAAATTATACCATTCTGAGTAAGACAGGCAGGCAAGTTCACCTATTATTTCCTTACAGGCAAATAATAACCTAGCAATTTCCTGAGGAATATTGTTTAAAATTTAAACTGTTTGGCTGATATGCATTAAAAAGTCTGTGCTAAGAATATGGAAAGTGCATTATAAATGACTGAACTAATGCCATTTTTACATTTATCTTTCTTTAGACTTCCTGTGAACTTGAGAGAAAGAGTTTCTCTTTTAAGATTCTGGAAGAGAAACGTTCTAATGCATGTTCAAAACAAATTGAGTTTAGATCAAGATAAGCATTTACCCAGAGTGCTTCATGTTTTGAGGCTTATCCATTCGCACGGCAAGCTTGATCTTCAGGTCTTGATCCGGGCAGTTTTTGGAAACAGTCATTTTGTGCCACTCTGATTGCTTTGGGCTATTGGGAGTAGGGTGGAGAACAACCTGCAAGCATCAAAATCAACAATGTTAAAGGGAAAAATTATTCACAAAATGAGTTTTATAATGGGGAACAAAAGCATATCAGATGAGCTACTTTTGCCCTAAAAGTCAGTCTGGAAACTTCTATTCACATCAGTGAGAATGGCTTTTTATTGCTTTTTTAACATACAGTTATGGTCAACGGCTCAATGTCCAAGGAGAGACTGGTGACGAGTGGCGTTCCTCAGGGGTCGGTGTTGGGACCGGCGCTGTTCAACATCTTTGTTGGCAACATGGACAGAGGGATTGAGTGCACCCTCAGCAAGTTTGCTGATAACACCAAGCTGTGTGGTGCAGTCGACACGCTGGAGGGAAAGGATGCCATCCAGAGGGACCCGGACAGGCTTGAGAGGCGGGCCCGTGGAACCTCATGAAGTTCAACAAGGCCAAGTGCAAGGGTCCTGCACATGGGTTGGGGCAATCCCAAACACAAATACAAGCTGGGTGGAGAATGGATTGAGAGCAGCCCTGAGGAGAAGGACTTGGGGATGCTGGCTGACGAAAAGCTCAATGTGACACAGCAATATGCGTTTGCAGCCCAGAAAGCCAACTGTATCCTGGGCTGCATTAAAAGCAGCATGACCAGCAGATCAAGGGAGGGGATTCTGCCCCTCTGCTCCGCTCTGGTGAGACCCCCCTGCAGTACTGTCTTCAGCTCCGGGGTCCTCAGCACAAGAAGGATACGGACCTGTTGGAGCGAGTCCAGAGGAGGCCACGAATATGATCCGAGGGCTGGAGCACCTCTCCTATGAGAACAGGCTGAGAGGTTGGGGTTGTTCAGCCTGGAGAAGAGAAGGCTCTGGGGAGACCTTAGAGCAGCCTTCCAGTACCTAAAGGGGCCAACAAGAAAGCTGGGGAGGGACTTTTTACAAGGGCATGGAGTGATAGGACAAGGGGCAATGACCTTAAACTGAAAGAGAGTAGATTTAGATTAGATATTAGGAAGAAATTCTTCCCCATGAGGGTGGTGAGGCACTGGCACAGGTTGCCCAGAGAAGCTGTGGATGCCTCATCCCTGGAAGTGTTCAAGGCCAGGTTGGATGGGGGTTTGAGAAACCTGGTCTGGTGGAAGGTGTCCCTGCCTATGGCAGGGGGGGTGGACTAGATGATCTTTAAGGTCCCTTCTAACAAAACAATTCTATGATTCTATTATTATTTTGAGAATAATTCCTATATTCTTTGGCTCCTCTATCTACCACGTCATTGTTCATGAGGTTGTGCAGAACAGAACTGCATTATCAGTTCCTATTGTTTAAGGAAAGATCATGGCCAACAAACTTGCAACTCTCCAGATAAATCAGTCTAGAAGTGATGGTGGACTAACGTGATGAGCAAACCAGCAACAAGTTTTTTCTGAGGTTGTCCACTGCAATCTTGGTCAACCTCCAGACTTCCTGACATTTCCCATGTGAGTTGTGATGTTTTTGGGCTCAGAAAGCTCCACCTAAAATGGTTCTATTGCTACTATCAGGTTCTTGGAAAGCTGGCTTGATTTTTTGCTTATTGTTAAGACCGAATGCAGTAGGCAACATTTTAGGTAGGCTGGTGTGTCTGACTGCACCATGGTAGCAGATAAAATCTGCATACCATGTCATGACATCAGTGGTTGCAAGATTCTGCTTCTATTTCATGCAGCAAGGAAATGATGGGATGCTCTCCATCTGGGGTAAATCAGTGCAATGCCAATGACTGCAGTGGAGCTGTGCAGACGAACACCAATGGAAGTGCTTGGCTCACCAAAGAAACTGAAAGGCTCCAAGAGTCGAGTAATCTTTCCTGATCATAGCTGTGCATTTCCCACTCACCCATTACCCCTACAAAGCACCGCAGCTCCCTCAGCAAGCCACAGAGTATTCTCCAAGAACTACATCGCATCCACCATCTTCTCCTGGTTTTCCATATGTGTCCTTTGAGGTGGTTTAACCCTCTCCCTCCTATGCCCATTCCTCTTCTGATGCTTTCACTCTTCGAGGTGACTTTGTCTGACACAAATTCATTCAAGTCTCCACTGTCCTGTAGTGAGATGAATCTCCTTTAAATCCATTAACCTTTATGCAAGCAAATTATTTTACAAATGGCAGCACTGACCCTTGTTATTTGGTGTGCTGCCATCACTCATTCTCTGATCATGCTTAGTCCGTGCTCCCACCAAACTCCAGCCCAGACTACAATCTTGTACTCCGCTGCTCTTCAACTTTACTGCTGAGTCAACAACCTAGGGGCTGTTTTCCACCAAAATATCCTTGACGCTATTACCCTCTGATGAATGATTTTAAAAATTATTTTATTGCCTCCTCCAAAGCCTGGGGTTAACATCAGTAGATTTTTGAATTCACCCTTATTCATCAACATTATCACTTCTTTTATTGAATTAGACTAATGCTTTCTCTGGCAGGAATCTGAAGCTGTTATTAGTTACATAGATAACTGAGTAACATCAGTCTCTACTGCATCAGTCTTGGAAAAAACACATTTAAGCAAATCCTGAAGATGAGAAGCCAGTCCTCCATGCGGGATGTTGTTAGAAACATGGATGGACCCAAACTCTGGGCAGTACCCAAGGAGCCCCAGTGCAAGGTAGGTCATCCAAGCACACAGACTTGCACTAAACTGCATCTCTTAGTGAGGCAGCAGCCACTCAGGCTGTTTGGGATGCTCTCTACTTTGATTTCTAACTCTTTTTCATAAAAGGCACATAAACCTTGCTCAGTATTGTTGTAATTCATGGCTCTTCCCCTCCTTGCTCTCAGTAGATGAAGTCTTGGCACGGGTGAAATCTGTGGGAGCCTTGCCACCATCTTCAATAGGGTCAGGATGTATTCCCATGCCTTCAGCTGCCCATCCAGCAGTTCAGGGCTTGGGAGCATTTTCCAGCTCTCCTTTCGATAAAAGTGGCGAAATGAGGAGTGCCGGCCAGTTGCCAATTTAACACTCGCAATAGAAAGTGGGCATTGTACACGCCTGGGAGTGCACAAAGCCGCTTCTCAAAGGGCAGCTGAGCATGGGTGTCTTTGTGTATAAAACCTGCTTTCCTCCTCTCTCCGTGCAGACAGGTTTGTGCCCACTCCAACAGCTAAACCAGGGGCTTAACACACTCCCGGTTTCATTATTTCATTAAAGAAGAAATCCTGATGCAGCCTGAGCAGACACGTGTCATCTCTCAGCTGCTCCGGGCACACTGAGCATCCCTTTGAAGTTCGGCCGACTGAAAGCGCTGGTGGCCACGGGCCAGGGGAAATCACCATGTGGCTCCCTGCGCTCTCCACCGCTGGCCCATGTCCTTTGGCCCACAGAAGCTCAGAGCTGAGGGATGGCTTCCCGCTGGACCAGCAATTAAAGTGCATTGGTGGGGCTGGCTCATCAGCATTTCAGGGCAAGAGGGGTTGCTTTGGGCCCTGACGTCTTTCTCAGAACAACATGCACAGCTAATTGCTTCCCGAGACCAGCAAAGTCAGCACTGCTCATGGCTGCCAGTGGAAACAAGACTTACAAAGCAAGCGGGTCTACACTGAGTGTAATCACTCAAGAGAAAAAGTCCTGAATGGCATTGCGGCTGACTGGGTGAAAATCTCTGCTCAGCACGCTGCAGCCAATAAAGGCAGGAGTGTCGGGCTGTTTGAAGAAGAAGGTTTTGAAAACAATCCTGAAAATATTATGATGCTGTGCAGCAAAGCAACTGTAGGTCTTCGGCTGGAATACTGCAGTCTAGTGGGGTCATCTCCTTTGTTAAAAAAGGAGGACAGTGAAAAAGAAAAGATCAAGGTGTGGATGAGGAAAGTCCAAAGGGGCTGTGACTCTCTTTGAAGGGAAGACTGAGAGAAGAAAAGAAAGGGTAGCTTTGCTTTTCTCTCTCTCAAGTGCAAGAACAAAGGATGTCACATGAATGTGAAAACACAAATAGTTAAAATGAACATAAATTATGAGACAAAATCACATGCAGTGCTCTCCACCATAAAGATACAAATTAAATCAACAGCTCACTAGGACCTGAAAGAATGTTAGGCACTTGTATGAATAGGTTGAACACAAACCCACGTTAATTAGGAAAAACTTCGTTGTGCAGACACAGATTCTCCTGTGTCAAGGCACAAGCAGCCATGGAGTTAGCAAGAAACAACCCAACAAGTTAGCTCATAATTGGAAATACTGTACTTGGCCTTGCCACAGGATCAGTGGCTCTCTTGGCCATGGCTTTCTTGGCCATAGCCGTGTAGACAGGGCAGAGAGCAAGGGGTGCTGCAGAGCTGGGCAGACAGAGCCCAGGCTGCTCCTGGAGATTGCTCAGGCCATGCTGAGCCGTGACACGGGACGTGCCAATCCCGTGTGTAAGATACAGACCATCTTACCCTGAACTGATTTTCATGGAGTCTTCACCATGCTGATCTCACAGCCCTGAAGAGTTGAGGAAGGCATGGCAGGGAGTTTGCTGCCATTTATGCCTGGGAGTAACACAAATTACATAGCTGCAAAAAAATCTATGGAGACTAACTGAAGTGTCCCAAAGCCACAGAAAAGTGCCATCCACAGATAATCTGGAGCTGTGGGCTGCAGCGATGGGGGGCCACTGGTGCCACGGAGTTGGCTTAGGGACCACAGATGAGGGGCAGAGATGGGGTGGGAAGGTTGGCTCTGTGGCCAGTACCCTGGGAATCTGAGCTCTTTGCTATTAACACCATTGACGGGGGCAATGAACCCCCATGTTTCACTCCCCAGTTCAGCCCCACTGAAGCCACCAGTTCAGCCACAATCCCCAGAGGAAGCCAGGATTTCAAGCCCTTTGCAGTGAGTACTGCAGTCAGTGCTTTCAAAAGCTCAAACCCTGCACCGGCTGCTCAGCAGATATGAGAGCAGCTTAACACTCTCTTGCCAAACTTAAATCCCCTCCTTTTGCTTCAGCATAATCCCCTTTTCTGCCTCAGGAATGTCCATTTCCGTAAGCAACTTCTAAGGCTTTCCGGACTGCCAATATCGCACACAAGATCCTCTGCCTTTGCTCAGTGCAGGCACAGCCAGCTGAAATGCTGCCATTAAAAACTCACAACAAAGACAGCATGTGAGATGCGCTCCTTTCCAGCAGTGGAGAGCTTGATTTTTTTCCCCCTCCTGAAGCTTGGCAAAAAAGCAGAGCACGTTGTGCTCCAAAGATATTTCCGTACAGGAGAGATTTCTCTAGAAAAGCAGGGCCAGAAGGAAACATTATTAAACTCAAAATCTCCTTACCCTCCCAAGCTCGAAGTCCTCCAGAGCCAGCACTCCCGTGCTCTCCGTGAACAGCTTCACCTTCACTGCAGGAAGCGCGTGTGTTGTCGTGAAGTCTCCTTGGGTGCCCCAGCTGTGAAAATAAGGACAGAAAGATGTTCAGCTTGACAGATCAGCAGCGCTACTGCTTGGGCGCACAATGGTTAACTGAAAACATCTTGTCTGGCACAAACCGAAGCGGCTGGGCTGTCTGAGAGACAAGGGCATTAATTATCTTTGGGAAATGTGGGACAGATGTTTGGAAAATCCATGATGGTTCTTTGGGGAAAGAAAAGAGTATTTGGGAGCAGCACAAAACCAAAATTAAGAGAACTTTTCTAGTTAAAAAGAACAATATGTCTCCTGCAGCGACAGCCTGTATAGTCACAACAGCAGTTGAGGATCGAGGACATCTGTACCTAGGACATCTGTAATCGCTCATGTCTCTGCTCTTCTCTTGGCTAATTAACCTCTCCTTTCCAGGTTGATAGTGAGGTTTGCTTTCTCGGAAGAAACTCCAATTTAACTTGGGTCCTCTTCCGAGTCCCGGCCCAGCCCTCCAGCGCAGCCCAGGTTGAAGTTCAAGCCATTATGTCTGGATTAATGTTAGTTTGCTGGGACTGCAGAGCAGGACGCCAGCTCCTTGGGGACGGGATGGCCACCTCAGGAAGTGGCCACCTCTCCAACTACAGAATGAACTGAGACTGCTGTCTACTATTTGTACTCCACGAGTCATCCCCTGGCTGGTCCCGTGGCTTAGAAAAGAGCACTACGGAGGCTGAATCACCCACAGAATGCGAAAACCCCCTCTAGACATGAACGTTTCTAGAGGACATCTCCAAGCTCCTGCAACCACAAGCTGACCAAGTGTGCAGAGAACATGAACTCATTCCATGCGGGACTGCAGGCACAGGGTCCCAGTCACAGTCTGCCAACACCTATGGCCAAACTTGCCATTTCAAATCTTACAAGGAGAGCCCTTGTAAGACTTAATAGACTGACTGTAAGACCCCACAGCTGACCCTCCCCAGACAAGTGTGGGAACAGCATCAGCCCTGCAGCCTGCTGGAGGGATGCCTGGTGATGGGCCTGACCCTGTCCCATTAGAGGTTTTCTCTCTCGACCCAGATACTTGGGGAAGCTTTGAGGACGGAGACCCAGTTTGGTCACAACTCACTGCACTCTGTTTCAGGGACTTTCCTCCTGAGCCCCGTTCCTGTCCCAGCGAGCAGCGTGCTGCAGCTGGAGCTGCACTGGTGAGCATCCTTGTGAGGTCCTCTTCAAGATACCTGGACTTCACACAGCAGTCAGCTTTGATTTAGGGAGATCGTAGGGAAAAGAAACTCGTGAAACATCAAGTCTGTTCAACATCCTAAGGGTCACAGCTTTTCTAATAGGCTCATGAAGAGCTTCCACAAGTGGTGCCACTCACACCAGGACATCAAATTACTCACTTGTGCTAAGGTTTTTGGGATATATGAAAAAGCTCCCCTCTGGCAAACAGGCACAAACTGAAGGGGGGTCACAGAACAAAAATTAAGTGGAACTTGAACTAATGCCTATTTGTAAGCTTTAAACAATTTTGAAAGTAGCAGAGAAAAGAACACCTTCTACACTAAGGAGTAAAAAGTCATGATGCTTTTATGTTTCAGACTTCGCAGCTGCATCTGGAGCTTTGTTTCTACAGCTTAGAAAGTTAGAAACTTACTAAAAGAAAGCCAGACAGGAACTTCCAGAGAGAGCTAAGCAAAGCACTCCTAAAACTGCACTGGCCCTTGTTAGCAGAGAACAGCTCAGCCAAAGATGAAGGGCAGAGGGAGGACTGGGGAAGAGTGTACCACTGCAAGGAGGATGCTCCCGTACATCTGATCATGCAGAGGTCCAACGTGAAACTAGCAGATAAAAACAACTCCTTTTTCTTTTTGTTCTCTTTCTTTGTCTTTTTTTATAATTCATTGTGAGCTAGATTTCTACGTTATTCCCAGAGACCTTGAATATTCATCACACTTCAAAATTCATGCAAAGTGTACAAACAAGCTTGAAGAATAATGACAGGCAAGGTGCTTTTTGTAAACTGGAAAAAACCAAGAGCATGCCATGAGCAACAACCCTGAGTCATGTGATGGAACACACACTGCAACCTAGAATACAGCAAGTCAGATGAAAGATTATACCATACCTCACTAACCACTTCTATTCACTCTCACACTATTAATGAAACTTTCTCATTTTACACTGTCCTTGAACTAGGTCCTCTGCTGAAGAAAGGCACTTCCCTTGAAATGCCTAGGAAAAGGCTCAGACGACAAGTGGTCCAGCGACTAGATGTTCTTCAAACATAAACAGCAAACAGCAGGTTTTGCATTTGAAAAGTTATCAGGAAAAATAATTTACTCCTCCCTGTGCACAAGGAGTATAGCTTTATGCTTGTTCTCCACTGAGCAAATCCTGTCCAGCTGAGCTTAGCAGATGAGTATGTTCAGCACAGAGCTGATTAATGAACTCAGTTTCTCCATCAGCTTTGCTCTAAAGTTTGCTCTCCCAGTGTCACTGTTCCACATGTTTCATCTTTTATGAGGATGCATCGAACTGCCACCAGTGGCAGGGTGCAGAGGTTTGGCATAAATTATCTACAGCACTACAGGTCCAGTCAGATCCTCAACATTATATCTTTTTCATCTGTGAGCCATCTGCTACCTAATACATGTTTTAAGCATAAGAACCAAGAAACAACCTTATTTTCTAACTGCAGCTTCAGGTCACAGGTTATGTTTTCTCTCTTAAAAAAAACTGCATTGTCATCAGTAGGTAAAGTAGGAAGATAATCTTGCTTTGGGTAAGAGGCAAAAGTAAGAAAATATCCAACCTTACACTTTGTATTTTGACAGCATCTGCTTCATAGAACTCATATCTCTGTTTACTATTAAAAAGCTCTTATTTGCTGAAGCATTCCCAGACCATATGTTATCAACAAATGTTACTAACCAAATACAAACAGTAATTTTCATTAGGTTTCCTTCATGAGAACAACATTAACCACAAAGGGAATAAATGTTTCAAATGACAGCAAACATACATAGGAAACCCTTGACAACACCATGGTGCTTACATATTCATACCCCCAAAAGCCCTGAAAAGATCCATGTCAACAAATAGAGACCCTCAGAAGTTGGGTTTTGTGCAGGTTGAAGCCTGCGGTGATGTCATTAGTTGCCATAGTGATGCTCAGCATAAGGCCATAATTCATGTCACTGAAACATCATTTGTATTCAAACTAAGTACGCACTTTATCTGTGCTGTGTATTAAATTATTGTTCAGAAAATTAGCTCTGGACAGTAGTTAGGTATTAGGATCTTCTGAGGGACTAACAATGTAACAGTTTCATTTCCATATTCAATAATTAAGCAGGTTAATCACTGCAGGAGTTTATTTGTTGGGAAAAGTGCCTCAGGACCCATTCTGAACAAATCGTCTCATGAAGTAGCCATGCTATCTTGTCCCCATATCACAGAGAGCTCATGCTGACACTTCAAAGCAATGATACATCTGCCATGTATTAATGGCATTAATAATGCCATTCTGGCCAAAACGACATATATACACCCCCCACCCCTCCCCCCACACCACAGAAAAGAAGTACACAAGCAGAAAAATCCTGAGAGTACTTTCTCAGTCAGGACCATATTAACTATCTGAACCCCACCTGAAACCCTCATCCCAGCGTTTCTTATTGCCTGGTGTATCCCAAAGCCTGGAGCTGACCAAGAAATGCTGCCATGTATAGGGACTTTGCTAGAATTATTGCCCTATTTATGGCATCTCTTGCTGTTCCAGTGATATCACTGGGATTTACTTGCATTTCCAAGGTTTCCAGTTAGGCATCAAACTTTGGATGAGTAGATAAACTGTTCTGGTTGCGAAGAGTCAGGGGATGAGATATGCCCCAGATGCTAACTTGACAAATGCTGGCCCTTGTTTTACCTTTTACAAGTAAAACAAGTAGATCATTGCTGTAGACTTTCTGTCTACAGATTCACCTAGAGGTGCCATCACAGTTACTAACCAAACAGCCTAAAGTGCCAAGATTTTTTCTGAATGATAGATAAAATGACACATATCCACATGGCGTGAGTGGACAACAAGGGACAAAGTTCAGCCTTGTCCCCTACTACCTCCATGGGCTCGTCTAACATGGAGCACTTGAAGGATGGGCTTATCTGTCTCATTTCAGGAGTATTTGAGAGCTCTCACAGAACTGCCCTTACTGGTACGTGGAGGGAAAGCGATGCCATTGACGATGAAGGTGCCAGGCTGCTCAGACCAAGTTGCTGTCAGTTGTTTCAAGCAAAATGTTGCTGATCTTCTGCCAAACCTTCAGGTTGGTGCTACTCAGCCCTTCCCAACTTATGGACAAAACAACTAAGACTACTTAGGCTCCTCACCCTGCTGCTGTAGCAGCTCTTACCCTTTCCCGCCATTAGGTCACTGCAGAAACAACTGTCTTCATCCTATGGATGTGAAGTGTTTTACAACCCGGTCTTTGGCTGTAGCCTCTGAATGCTACCAAAATGCAGACATAGCAATTATAAAATTAAATTAATACATAGCCAAAAAGACAAACTCATTCAAATGCCATGGCACTGCTATGTTACAGTATGTGATTAAAAAACTATTTGGGATATGAATAAGGCTTAACCTGCAAGGGTCCTTGTCCTGACTGCACTCATGTATCACATTAAACCAGGTAGCAGCATCTCTGAATCCAGCTGCTTTTCTCCACGACATCCCACTTACATGGCCTAATCCATGATTTTTTTTGGCGCGCCTTGAGAGACACTGACTTACTCATTTCTATTCACCTCTAATGTGTAAGTTCCTCTAAAAGAAATTTTAGCACCCATAACCTTCTAAAACTGAACATACATGTTAATACCCAGGAGAATGCATTAAATTATTTCATTCACATACTGCAGTCTCCAGCAAGTCTGCTTAGCCCCTGCCTACTTTGAAACACTAACCTTTCTTCCATCATTGCTCTTGTAGCTTGATCTAGCCAGAACATTGATGCCTGTGATTCCTATAAATAATGAACA